TCGATCAGAATGAATGGCATGTTTTACGTGTTGATCACAGTTGTGTGCGTGTGTTGGAGGAGAAACCCGGATCCCCAGGCTTCAACCTGTCCTCGGACGATGAGGAGTCTTCGGCATAATGGGTCGGGTCGTTTATGTTTGCTTGTTGATCCCAAACGGTCGTGCATAGAATGCCAGGACAAGAGTCGCGGACCCTCAGACTCAGACATGGGGGAGCAAAGGGCCCTCGTGTCGCTTGGTGAGGAGTGGCTCCGAGCATCATCTAGTGTGCACTGATTTCGACATGACAGCACGCAGGAGAGGATTCGCATTGAAGAGAAAGCGATGGATATGCGGATTTCTCGGAGCGAGGCAGTGCGGCCAGAGGCGGATCTTGATCGACACGCGGTGTTTTGTAGATAGGAAGAGGGAGGCTACAATACATGTATATATTTATATATAGATACTTACACACACATAAATACACAGATAACTCATGTGTGTGTGTGTGTCTGTGTGTGCGTTTGTGTTGATATGTGTATATGTAAGTTACATGTATGTATATGTATGCATGTATGTATGTATGTATGTATGTATGTATGCATGTATGTATGTGTATGTCTATATGTATGTATGTATGTATGTATGTATGTATGTATCTATCTATCTATGTATCTATGTATGTGTATGTATGTCCATGTATGTGTATGTATGTGTATGTATGTGTATGTATGTGTATGTATGTATGTATGTATGTATGTATGTATGTATGTATACATAACTATGGATCTCCCGAAACCGTAGTATTGAAGAACGTAACCGGAATCGAGCTATCTTGGGCCTCAGGGACTATGGGAGGAAATTCCTCTCGGATAGTGAAGTTGATTTTGACTGGAAAGGCAGGGTCTGGTACCGCGGAGCACAAGTGCTGTTCCACGCGGATAGGGACACGCCCGCGCCGCAGGCTCTCATGATGCTTGATGCCAAGGGAAATGAGAGCGGTTGGTGGACTAACCCGGAAATCATCTCCCGGGTCCTTGGTATGGACCCTCAGCAGGTTCGCGATGAACTTAGCTCATAGGATTCAGGGCGGGGGCGTTCCACACAACATCGTAATTCACTTGCATGCACGTGCGCAACTTGGAATTTGCATGGAAAGTCTTTGGAAGCCCTTGCTAACGTTTTCGAGCAGCTTGCGGACGCACCAGACGTCTTGTTCCTCCAAGAGCTTGGCGGCCTCCCCAGTTTGGGCGTGGGCCATACGATCACTAAGGATCTGAGCCTGAATGGCACGGAATACGTGGCCTATTTACATAACCCCCCGAAAAGTCACCTTGCCGTTGCCATTTTGGTAAATTCCGAACTGAACCCTTCGACTCCGCTATCTGTCCCTTTGCCTGCAGGACTGTTTTTGCAACTCAAAGTCGGATCTGCCCCTTTTGCTCTAGTGACCATACATCTGCCCCACGACCAGCGGGAGGACGCTTTCGATGTATGGACTTCCACCCTTGAACAACTGACACAGGCCCTGGGGAATGTCCCTGTGGGACACTCTGTTTTTGTTGGCGGGGACTTCAATCAGCCCCTGCATAACACCCAGGATACTTTTTCGCCCATGGCTCAGCTACGTCTGCTCTTAGCCCGTTTCCGCCTCAGAGTCTCGGAAGACGTCGGACCCACCTGGCACGCCCGGGGGCTGGAGGCCCCTTTGGAGTTTATCCTCTTTCGGCATGAGGGCATGTTAGGCTCAGCGACCAAATGTGAGGACCTTAGGGTGGCTCTGCCCTCAGATCATGACCTCGTCTCTGTACGCTTCCAAGCCGCCCTTCAGGCACATAACCGCAACAGGAGAAGACGGGACCGATGCGGTAGATGGTGCCTGCAGACGGAACGCTGGGAAGACGCTTTGGCCCAGATGCCGGATGATCCAACGGAGGCTGACCTTTCGTCGGCTTTCAGCTCCTGCTCTTTCCGACCTAAGTTCCCGAGATACCGAGATTCAGAACTTATCAGGGACCTCATACGTCGCCGTAAGGTCTCGGTGAATTCAGACGAACGAGCAGCCTTGGCACAAGAGATTGCCTACCGTAGAGCCGATGACAAGGCCTCCTTTAAGCAGGCTATTCTGGATAGAGCCCGAACAGGCGACTTTGCAGCCATTTCGCACCTCCGGCGAAGCGCCGCGCAAACCAAGGTCGCAGGCAGCTATATACAGGCCCGTGGAGGCCAGAATGCCGCTACGAAAGAGCTTAAAGAATTTTATGATGTCAAGTATGACACGAACGGACCTGGACCTTCCGCTGCCCTCATTGCAGCCCTACGTGACCGACATCAAACCCCCTCCCCCACCCCCTTTTCCCTTGAAGAGGTTCGTACTGCCTTGCAAGGAGCCAAGACAGGGACTGCTGCAGGCTCAGATGGAGTCACCTACGAGGCTCTTCTTGCCTTCGCAGCCTCAGATAAGGCTTTCAAACTGGTTAACCTTCTCAATTCGTATTTTTCGGGGGCCCACCCCATCCCTCCTCATTGGAAGCAAGGTTCAATTTGTTTACTCCCTAAAGTCTCACAACCAGGGGGGCCTGCTGACCTGAGGCCCATCGCTTTGACACCTTGCCTTTGCAAAGTTTACTCGAAACTTCTTTTAAATCGCTTGGAAGAATCTTGGCCTGTCTTCCAAGCTGGACAGTTTGCCTGCAGGAAAGGCTCGCAAGCAATTGATGGAGCTGCGGCTGCATCCCTACTCCTCCAGATCGGGAGTGCCCGGCTCCAGCATAGGCCGGTAATCGCGAAGCTGGACCTCAAAGCCGCCTTCGATTCCTTGTCACATGATTCCATTTTAAAATATCTCATGCAGGTCCAACCTAACCACGCCACTTGGGCGTTATGGCAGCTTTGTCAGGACTGCGAGGTAAGCCTCCGCCTCGGATCGGACTCCTGGAGCACGCCGACGAAGCGAGGGGTCCTTCAGGGGACTGCGTATTCCGCCATCCTTTTTTCAAGGGTTGTTGATTCCTTTTTAGGACCCCTTATTCGCTCCTGGGAACGGAGATGGCCCTCATGGGAACTGCCACACCTCCTGCTGTACGCAGACGACATTCTCGTCGTGGCCAGAGGACCCGAAGACTTACAGTTCAAGGTTCAACAGGTAGCTGATGTACTCTCCACCCTAGGACTTCGGGTCAACCGCGCTAAATGCTCCGTCCTAGACACACCCGATGGCTCAGGACCCGGTGTCTGGCTCAGAGGGAGTTGCACTCCCCTCAAAACTGAGAGGCACCTACTGTACTTGGGTGTCCCTTTGTCCTATGATTTCAGACCAATGACGTGCTTTGCAAAGAGCTTAGGCAAATGCGCTAACACGTATTTCGCCATGCGTGGAATTTTTAATGCCCGCCGCCTCCCTGCTGTCCGCAAGGTGAAGCTTTTCGATTTATATGTGACTTCCAGGTGGTTGTGGAGTTGCGGCCTGTGTTATCCCACGCGCCAAAGTTTGAGAGCCCTCGATGCGCACCAGAACACGCTCCTGGTAGGCCTGCTTGGTTTCAGGGCCGATTTTTTCGGTGAATTCTTGCAAAACACCGTCTCGAAGCGAAGAGCAGCTAGAGCGACTCTCGCAGCTTTGCAGATCGATCCCTGGAGTAAACGCTGGGCCACACAAGCCTGGCGCTACTGGGGCCATGCCGTGCGAAACCAGTTGGACACCCCTTTGCGCTACTTGGTATGGCGCTACTCCACCTTCACCCTGATGTCGGGGGATACCTCGCCAGGTTGGGTCGTCAACACCCCCCTCAGGAAATTTCAACTATGCTATGGCACGATACGTGCCGCCTCGCACCCGGCTATTTGGGAAACGGCTGCTCAGGACAGAGTCATGTGGCAGCAGCTATATTCACTCTGGAGACGCCACTGGGCGAGGGCCAGACCCAACACAGATTTGCTGGGCCGCCAATTGGTCATCATCAATCTCGAGGAGGCTGCCTTGAGACCTTTCCGATTCTTTCCCGAGGAGGACTACAACAACTCTATTTGTTACATACACCCCCTCAGTAACATCCCCGCAGGAGCTTTCTTATGGGCCAATGCGACGAGGCTGGGGTTAGTGTTGCAGTCGTTCCCCCGTCTCGGGAGGAAACACAAGCGCTCTTCCTGCAAGAAAGACATGATCCCACTCAAACCTCCGAAAACGCCAAGGCCCTACACCTCTGGCTCCTCGTGGGATACCTACATGACACATCTCCCCAAGCCCAAGGCCTACCCATTGCCATGCCCTCCATTTGCATGCACCCCAGTGTCCTTACAGGAGAGATCAGCCTGAGCCTTCGCTTGCGCTACAATACTTTTGATCGACAGGACCAGCAGCATGACCTCATCCGACGTACCTTCGTGTACGGAACGAAAGACGCCGCCAAACATTTCCCCAACCTTGCCAACTCCTGCGTTGGCCCCTTTCCCCTTGGACATAACAGGTTGGTGAGAGACGGCAGTTTTACGAACTGCAAATTTTCTGCTAGGTCTGTGGTCTAGGTGCGGGGGGGGGGGCAGGGCGGCCATGAATTGCCTTCTGTCGCTTTTGCCCGAGTCCGCACTTCTGTGAACGCCATGGAACTGCCGGGTGGTTTCGTGATACCTGGGGCTCCCCACCTTCGCGATTTCCCACCACTGCTGCCACGACATGTGTACAACGTCCTCGACACTGTGCCCCCCAGGATGTCATCATTGCTTGCTGCACAGATGCGTTTGTACATACGTGACATGCGGGTCTCATGGGGATGGTTCTTTGCTACACTCTTCGAGCTCGAGGAGTACGCGAGCGACCTCGATCGGGTCCTTCGTGATTTCGATACCCTCGACCCCGACGATCCCCCTCTCTCAGAAGACGATGTGTCCTATATGCACTTTCTGCTGGCAGAATGGGAAGTTTCCTTCGACCATAGTTGTGAGAATGTGGTGTGGTTCTTCTTTCACGCTCATCTCCCATGTTGGCGAGTGCTTCTCGGCCCAGCAACGACCCAACGACTCCGTGAGTAGTTCCGCCATGGCTGGAATTGCGCAAATTGTGGGGATGGTTCACCTTCCGCACTTACACCCCTTTTTCGCCCTCCAGTCAGAGGAACTCCACCTGTACCTGGACGAATTGCCACCTCTGGACCAGTGCTTGGCGGCCAGGGAAATCCAATATCAGTTTAGAACTTGCCGAAACACGTGGCCAGAGTATTGGTTCTTGCCAGCGCTAGCCCGCTACATTGACAGCCACCTGGACGTCCTGTACGAAATTCCCCTCTGGCCATACCAGGAACCTGCAGAGAGCTTCTGGGATCGGAGTTTCGACATGGTCGGAGATCGACTCCAACAAGAAGTTTCGGAGCTCGTCCCCCGCTTCGAGATGACCTGCGAATTCATTGCATGGAACGAGTTAGGAGTGCACTTGACTCCATGGAGCTTGCTCTTGACTCAAGCGACATGCCCAGCACTGAGAGAGTAGATTTCCTTACGCACTGAACACTTGCTTTTTTGGGCACCAGCCCCCTTGCCTGATCGAGACCCTGCGGAAACAGACTTGGTGCGCGCTGCCCTTCAATAGCCTTGAAGACACTGGCCTTGCAGACTAGATCTTGTTACCAGGCCCGTCACCTCATGACAACCATTATCACTGTCAGCCTCAGCTTTTCAGCTCCTGACAGAGTCCAACATGGCTCCCATGTGGCACCTTAAACCGGGTCCCTGCAGTCTTGATTTGGAGGATGTTGACGACGACGTGGTGAATGATACTGTGCATGAGCCGCCGACCCCCCTCGATGCCCCTCCTTCGCCCACGAGGGTTTTCCTGATTGATTCGGATTCAGAGTTGGAGAGATGTGATCGTGAATGGGTTGGTGATAACTCCATTCACAATCCTCTGACTCCCCGCCTCAGACCCCGGGATCCCCACTTCGGGTTTTCGGAAGATGCCTTGCTTCGACCTATCGAGATCAAGAGCTGCCGAATATATCAGCGTGATGAAGCTCCCAAGGCACACGAACTCTTAGACCTTTTCTTGACGATGCCGTTGTCATACTTGAGAAGAAGGATTGACCCCGAAACAGGCCTCAATGCTAAGTACCTTCTAGCAGGAGCCTCGCCGAGATCCACTGGGGACATCTTGAGTCATTGTTCTGAATGTCCGTATTTTACGTTAGTAGTGAACAAGTTCTTGCAAACGATTGCTCCGCACCATAGGTTTTCAACCTACGTGATCAGGAGCGGTTGTGTCAGTCGTGTTCACCGTGATGTGCGGAACGGGCCTTATCCCTCCCTAGTGATAAGCCTGTCGCAAGCCGGGCAAGGCGATGGGATTTGGCTCCACGACCCTCTCGGCAAGATCTTTAAAACCTTCGGGGCAAAGCGACTCCCTGGGGTCGTGATCCCCATCACGGAGCCTTTTGTGTTCGACGCCCGAAAAACCCTCCACGCAGGACACGTGGCCCACCCGGACCGCATCCCAAGTCGGGTGGTACTCATCGCATTCACAACCCTTACCCTAACACAGCTTCAGGTGGTTCCCCGCGCGATGCTCTGTGGCTTAGGCTTCCCCCTCCCCCGCCCGAGCGACCCGTTCAGTCATGGACCCATGAATGATTTCGGGGCCCATCCGCGAGTTCGCCAGCTTAGTCTCAAGGAGGCCCTCAGTATGCCTGCCCGCCAATCCCATCAACTTGATGTGATTGAGGTCCAGGACAGCCAAGAGTGCATGACACCCTTGCACTAGCGTGCCACCTGTCAGGCCGCCCGATGTGTGTAATACGCAACGGGACACCCCTTTTGCCTTGCTTCACCCGCACTGCCTTTGTTTGCCTGTCTTCACTCCCTTGCTTCTCCTTTTCACCTTGTGTGGAATTGCACTGTGCTGCTTGTTTGCTTCAGGCCCTGCCTTTGCTGCCCTTTCAGGATGTCCGGTTTAGGGTTTTGGTCTAACTTCTGGTGACCTTGTTGAATTCTTATGTCTGGATGGTTTCTTCGACGGTTTCATAGCTAAGCCCCTCGAAGCCAAAGCCCTGCTAGACGTCCCCACATGACACTTCCTCAAGCCATGGGCTCGACGACTCAACGGCTTGCACGTGCTGCCCCTGAGAGCTGGGAATTAGGAGCTTCGTCGGATCCGTCAGTGCTGCTTCGAGCTTCTGAAGTTACCTAACCTCTAGTTTTTCCCCCTAAGCCCCCCGCCCCCTTCTGGCCGGCACCTCAGTTTCACTTGACTTTTTGGGCTGCAAAGACAAATGCGCAGGACCGCCAGACATGTCGTAGGATCGTGGGATCATGTTCATGCGAGCATAGTTCTTACCGGAAAGCCCCAACAGGACACCATGTGCCTTTGCTCGGGGCTCGAGGTTTCTAGGTCTGCTACTACTGTACTAGTGTTTTCCTAGCAACAAGAAGTACCACTTGACTTTTTGGCTGCAAGGACAAATGCGCAGGACCACCAGACATGTCGTAGGATCACGGTATCATGTCCATGCGAGCAGAGTTGTTACCGGAAAGCCCCAACAGGACACCATGTGCCTTTGCTCGGGGCTCGGGGTTTCTAGGTTTACTACTACTGTACTAGTGCTCTCCTAGCAACAAGAAGTACCAGGGGACATGCGCTCAATACTCCGACAAGAAGTACTTGGGACCGCAGCGCTCACCAAAGAAGTACCTGCGGGCGCTCATTCAAGAAGTACGCGGTCCCAAGCGCTCACCAAGAAGTACTTGTCTCCCTGGCGCTCAACTTACAACTAGAACCATTGTGACTGTTCTTTTCCTTCACCCTTGTTTACTGTACTTGTTTCACATACCTTGCCTTGCACTGTCCGGTTGTTGTCATGTCATGACTGCTTTGTCACCCTGTCACCCTGCAGCCGTACTTTGCTTTCCTTACCCTGCCTTGCACTGTTTCGCCTGCTCATGGAACCTTTTTGCCTTGCCTCAGACGCTCCCCCGCGCCAACTCACTGCACTCCCCGACTGGGTGCTGTCCTGGCTCCTTCTCGGACTTGTCGTGATGATCGTTGCCGTCGTCAAGAGCCTGCTTGTCCTACGGACTCAATGGACGGAGATGCGGCAGGACCAAAAAGCCACCCAGAGAACCGTGGCCGAATTACATGCTCAGATGACGAGCATGCAGAGCCTGCTCCAGCAGGCGGTGTCCCAACAGGCCTCGCCAGTGCTCGCTGAACCACAATCCTTTTTGCAGCCTTTACTTCTCGAGAAATGGAGGGAAACGAGAACTGACCTCTTTCAGACGGTCAGGCTGTTCGGGTTGGAAGTCCAGGAACTAAAGGAGAAGACCACGCAGCTCTTCCCCTTGTTTGCCTTGATGAGGAAGTCTGTTCTGCCACTGCATGCGGACATCCCCGAAGCACTCAAAACCATGAACGAGCACCTCGGGAACCTCAGAGACAACGTTGACAGTTTGACTACTGAAGAGCACGGGGTTTACGAAGCCGCGACCCAAGCAGTGATGAATGCCCTCAAGTCTTTAGAAGACCGCCTCTGGCGGGCCCAAAAGGAGTTTAAGACTCCTTTGGCCGGAGCCCAAGCAGCTATGACCCAGGCCTGCCAAGAAGCCAAGGCCTTACAGGCAGAACTGCAGAGGTTTCGCCCTCAGGAGGCACCCGGGCTGTCCTCAGCCCCCCCACCGGATAAACCTCCTTGGCAGTGAGGTGTACAGCGCCCTTGACGTATCAGTAGACTGTCCATGCTGCTCAAAACAATCTTGTGCTAAGGTGCAGGAGGGATGTGCGACTCATGGGAAAGCACCAAATTGGATGTGCGTAAGTAAACCCTCGTTATGTGAGAACGTTTGCTCGAGCCCCCCCCTGCTCCATCATACCCCGACGCCCGCCATGACAGATGCCGGCGCACCGCGAACTCAGATACCCCCCACGCTTGAGGGGCATGTCATGTACTACCTGCTCAAGGTCGTGACAACACCACCAGCTGAAATGCTGAATTTGGCTATGGTCTACGCTCCGTGGCTCCTTTTGGGCCTTTTCGTCCTGGCCCAGGCCAGGCCTGTTTTTGCCCGACGACTCCCAAGGACCGCCCCGCCGCCCTCGTCCTCCACAGCTGCCCCTCCTGACCCTGTACCAGAGGCACCCCCCAAACATGCAGAGATCTCGCCTGAACCCGCAGCAGCACCGGAACCCAAAAAGACGGAGGGAGGAACCAGTGATGGTGCTACGGATCCGCCCCTCCCCCCTCCGGCATCCCCTCCCACCACTTGCCCCGACGTAGCCACGGCGCAGCCCAAAGCCGACCCTTCCCCTCCACCTGCTACCCAGCCTGCACCCTTGCCTCCCACCCCTGTGGAACAGAAGCAGAGCGAGACGCCACCAACCTCTCCTACTCCACCTGAACTGAAAGCCTTCACGGAGGCCTTGAAAGATGTCAAGGCCTACATCGACGACAAAAGCAAGGTCCTTCAAGAGGTCAAGAAGCTCCTGGACACCAAGACGACCCCGCCTACACCGACGACTCCAGTGGACCTCGGCCCGACCCTTGAAACAGCCCTCAAACCGCTGAGCGAGTCGCTGTCTACGATTGACAGCACCACCGCGGGAGCAGCCCGCGACCTCTCCAACCACATGTGGGAGAGTGGAGGCCGACACCAGGCCATGGAGACTACGCTCTCTGGGGTCCATGGCATGGTGCGCGATCTTCAGAATCGCGTTGGGACCACGCAACGCAAGCTGGACGACTGGGTCAAGAGCTGGTCAGACAGCGCAGGAACCACGTTGGACGACAGCCCAGGAGTGGTCAAATGCCTTTGTCAGCTTAGAGAACATCAGGATGAATTGGCCCGGTACAACCAGGCCAACGAGGCCTTGTCCTCCAAGGTCGACACGGTGGCAGAAGCCGTCGGGGCGATCGCCACCCGCGTCCAGAGCATGCAGACTCTCCTGGACAAGATGGCTGCAGCACGCCCCAAAGCCCCTCCGCCGGCCTTCCCGGCACCCGACATTCCAGCAACCGAATCAGCCGGGCCCCCGCCCCATCAACCCCCCGGGAGCTGGCACACCCCGTCCCAGTTGCCGGGATCTGCGCCCTCTAATCCCTCGCCGACCGCGCAGGGGCTCCCCCTCACCACGCCGCCGGCATACATCCCCTCCATTGGAGCTACGATCCAAGCAGCACCCGGCGCTTCGCAGGGAGTGCCACCAGGTGCCAGTGTGATCAACTTGAGCCCTCCTGCGCAACAGGACACAGTCACCGTGTGGATGGACGGTCGTGCCTTTCAGATCCCGACAACAATGGTCAGGGGGATCAACTGAACTTTGGCACCTTTTGCACTGTTTTTGGGCCCTTGCCTTTGGCCCCGCATCTTGTAGCATATGCACTGCCTGGTTACTATACGCATCCTTGAAAACATCGCTGTGCTGCAGTTGAGCGTTTTTGCCTGAGCGAGCGGTCCCACGCCCCAGCGCTGAAGAGGACAGGACCACATGCTGCAGCTTTTTCCAGACTGTACCTTACACACTAGCATGTTACCGTAAAAGCATCTGCACTGTTTTTGCACTGCCTGCACTGTTTTTGGGCCTCCTTCTTGCCCCTCTCCTTTCTTTTTCTCCTCTCTTTGCCGTGCTGCGCTTCTGCTGCCCCGTGCCTGTGTCGTCTGTCGGTCGATGACCCCCATGATGGATGATGAAGATGTCTTCTGGTGACACGAATGACGACGAAGACGACAGCAGAGGGTATATCCCCTCCAGACTGCACCTTGGTAGGTGCGGGATCCAGGGGAGCCTGACAGCCGTAGAACCCTAACCCCCTCGCCATGGCCAGCAGCGACTGCCTCGGAGGCCAGTGAACAAGTCTGCACGAGGAGCCTTGACGTATGGCCCCCGCCGCTATGTACAGTGCAAATGGACCGCGGGACTCCATGTCTGCGCTGGATCTGGGACGACCGGTGTGCTGCCTCTGCATGGCTTACAATCCAGGTGAGCCACGTCTTTCGTCGACAGCTGCCGTTCGCGCTGGATCTGGGATGACTGGTACGATGCCTCTACACCAACCCCGCTTACAGGCCAAGCGAGCGACGTCTTTTTGGGGCGACGCTAAACCTGTGGCTTGAGAGATGTATGTGGTCACAGTGGAGTTTGCTGGCAACCTCAGGACACTACGGTGCGTTATACGGGCATGTATGCCCCTGACGTAGACGAGACCCCTCCGGTTTTTGACTGCTCGGGCCAGCCAGATGCCTGGCGTGCTGCCTCTGCATGGGCCCCGCCGTTAATTGCAGTACAAGCGAACCACGACAGCCGATGTCTACACTGGATTTGGGACGATGGGTGTGCTGCCTCTGCATAGGCCCCGCCGCTACCTGCAATCCGGATGAAACGTTTTGTATGGCTACATTGGTGTTGGTTACACGGGCATTTCGGTGCAACCCCTTGGGCGAGCTCGCGGGAACATTTCCTTTTTGCCTGCAGCGACTGGAGATACAGGATGGTGCAGCGGAAATGAACCCCGTCGACAGAGTGTGCATGCCGGCTACGTGGGCGGTGCCCACTGCTGGCCTTTGGTAAGTGATATGCTGGGTTTGGTTGCATCGGATCGGTCACACATCTGGTGTGCGTGAGCACAGCGAAGTCTGCTGCAGAGTGCTGACTGCACTTGACGTGTCCGTGCTTGCTTGCCCCTGGACAACTTTGAGGCCCACAGGTGGCTACACATAGCTGCTTTGCCTGGATGAACCGGAGACGGATGTTTGCTGGGTACACGAGCTTGACTGCTGGTGCTGGAGTGCTTTCGCTGCTACTTCGCCAGTGGCCGGCACTGGCCAGCTTAGCGGGCCGTGCGCCACCGTGAGAGGGAAGTTAGCCTTGATCGAACTGAAGAGGTGAGTGAGTCAACAAGGCACGAGCACGGCTTCTCGCTGTTACTCGTCGCTGAACTTGCAGAAATTGCAGGTGCTTCGGATAGTTGACCTTGTGGCTCCTGAGGGGGGAGAAACTCTTGAGGCCGTTTGGCAAGTTTGCTCGGAAACTGTACTGAAAGCTGGCGAAACCTGCCGGCTGGCAAGATTGATTGAAGTCCTGGTGGCTGCGAGCCTGTAGGCTCTGGCTGCCCCCGTTTCATAGTCTCGTTCCCCTACACCTCGCCTGACTCGTCGAGTGCGAGTGCTAAAAATGTATGTATGTATGTGTGTATGTATGTATGTATGTATGTATGTAGGGATGTATGTATGTATGTATGCATGTATGTATGTATGTATGTATGTATTAATGTATTAATGTATTAATGTATTAATGTATTAATGTATTAATGTATTAATGTATTAATGTATTAATGTATTAATGTATTAATGTAATGTAATGTACGTATGTATGTATGTATGTATGTATGTATGTATGTATGTATGTATGTATGTATGTATATACACCTACATAAATGTATATGTATATATATGTATAAGTGCCATACATACATATACATATATATATATGTATATATATATACACACATATATATATACATCTATATAAATATACATATACATATATATATACGTACACATGCACACATGCATACATACATACATACATACATACATACATACATACGTACATATATATATGTATATATATATATATATTGCACTCAGGTTTTCGATGGATTTACGAACTTCATGATCTTCCCCAAGCTTGGCCAGAAACTGCGCCCCTCCTTGGACAGGTTTGAGAGGCGATGTGGAGAGACGCTTCAAAGACATGCAGAGGATGCACCTGGACTTACGGTTGATGATATAAATCCTGCATTACCCATAATAAGGAATATACCATAATTCGCATAGTTTAAGGTAATGCAGGATTTACATCATCGACAGTAGGGCTTTGAGGTTTCGGGTGTTTGGCTTTCTAGAAACCTGGAGTCAAGACCTGTCCTTGTGATTTCCTTATGTAATTTGGCTCCCTGAAGGTATTGGCTGCAGCAGATTCTTTTCAGGATCTGGGCAAAGCCAGTCAGAAGATCTTCTACTTGCATTCGTTCCTAGGCTACCCCCGAGATCCTATGCAAGGCAAACTTATGGAAGCCTGCCGCAGAATTGCCGCTTCGCTTGAGGATGGCGAGGATGGTGATGTTGAAGATGTCCTGTCCACGGTGTATAAAACCAGTTTGTTCCACAACTATGGCCACGGCTCGTATTTCAGCTGGTCCAACGAGAATGCCAGCAATGCCATCGAGGAGTTTGAAGACCTAGTGATTGGTTTCTTCGATAAGTCTCTAGGCAGGCCTTTGGGACATTTTATGTGTACCCTTCATTGAGCTTGAGGGGAACTCCTTTACGAACATCTGTGAGAGGCCTTAATTAATGGGCCGACCTAGGTCTGTTACTGGGCTCAACCTCACAGAGTCTGGGCTATTCAGTAGTATACGTTTTTACTTTTGGGGTTCCTGGGTTCTTAGTATATTATACTTGACTCCCAAAAAATTATAGACTTGTACCCAAGGGTTACTGAACAGCTTACTAGGTAGGCGTTTGGGATATTATATATTTTCCCTATTGGGCTTAAGAGGACCCTATTTACGAATATTTTCAGAGGCTTCAAAGGGCCAACCAGCTTAGGAGTGTTTGGGAAGCCTCGGCTGGAAGCTCCCAAACATCTACGAGGACTTCATGGAAATCCTCAGAACGAAGATCCGACCCTACCCGGCCCCAGAGGAGATGGATACGAAGGTCTTATATCACACCATGTACCTTTGGGGGGCGGGGTACTTGTAAACTGTGTCTTTTTTTGTTTTATAATTTTGTGGCTACTATAACCCCGAAACAGCTAAAGCTATACTTTTTTGAGGGGGTGCGAAATGCAGTATAGGTACTTCGTGACACACCTGGTCTACTTCTTCACAGGTTTCGGCCTGGAGACTTTGAAAGGGGTTGCGAGATTGGAGATGCAGCCGGAACTGCGATTCTTGGAGGCGAGGGGGTTTATGATTTAGGGTTTAGGGTACCGCCAAACCACACCAAACCTTAAGCCCTCACCGTCCCAACACGCAGAACCCCATTTCCCGGTTCCATCCCTGTGGAAGGCAGCCCTGCCATTGCTGTCCACAGGAGCTCATGCACCACAGCACAAACTGGTAGCTCCCATGACATTTGGCATGCTTTTGGAGTTTGCTTCTGGGTGTAGCAGTGCCACTTTCCCTTTGGACCCGCCTGGAAGAACTTTCTCCGTGTCAGCCCATTTGCCTCGCCAGGAAGAGACCGACATTCTCGGCGAAGTCATCTACTGCCATATTCTGCTCGGGGCAGACGATTCCGATCCGCGAATCCGCCAAAAGAGACTCGCGATCGTTGCAAAACAGCGGCAGGACGGCCTTTTTGGAAGCAGCCCTGATGATGACGATGACGACGATGATGATGGCCTGGACCATGCGACTTACAATGCCCTCACAGCTCTGATCCCTCATTCGTGGTTCCCAAAGCCTGCGAGTACAAAAAAGCTGTCCATGATGACACCAGCTGCTCTCGACGAGCTTCTCCGACAAGCAGGCATCCTCGGCCCAAGGCGAGTGAACGTCGCATCGGATGACGAATGAGTCGACCGCGAAGCAGAAGTCGCACCATGAGCTGCACCACTGGTCTCAGTGCACTCTCTCTCTCTCTCTCTCTCACCCTCTCTCTCTTTCGCTCACTTTTTTTTAAGTAGCTCCGTCAGGGGACGTATAGATAACGGCCACCCTACGACTTCTTTGCTAGGTCTGTGCCAAACCTCCACAGAGGCCCATTTTGAAAGCTACCGGTCCCCGAGACCGCACGGAGACCTCGTGCTCTCTAAGAGACTCGAAATTTTTTGTTGCGAGCATGCCATGGTGACGTGAATCGAAAAGGTCAGAGCCCGCCGACTCTTGCTTAATTATCAGGACGTTTCGAAGTTCTCCTGCAGACTTCAGAGCTGATGGGCTTCGGGGTTTAGAGGTTTAGGGTTGGAGTTTAGGGTTTAGGGTTTGGGGTTGTGATGGCGGGGAGATGCGATTAGTGGCGCCGAGCCTGGTTCTTTGGCCAGCATCGGTGCCTGGGTCAAACAAAGCACATGAGCAGAAACTATTCAAAAACAAGGCCATTTGCAGTGATACCATCTCGGCAAGCTACAGCCCAAACTCCCTAAACCCTAAACTCCCTAAGCCCTCAACTCTTTAAACTCCCTAAACCCTAAACCCTAAACCCCCTAAACTCCCTAAACTCCCTAAACCCTAAAACCGAAAGTCCATCTGCCTCATGGGCTCCAGAGTCTAAGACTCCAAGGCTTGCGCGCCTTCGCACTGTTTATCATGAGATGCCCTTACAGATGAACCTGGAAATTTACAGCCTTTCATGAAGGGTTGAAGGGTTTAGGGGTTAAGTTACCGCAGTAACATAGTAGGGATCTACAGTAGAAACCAAGAACCCCGGACCACAGAGACTTTCCCGGACCCCTTCGTCATGCCCGACAATGGTTCTCTAAGTTTCCCCGGCTTACTCCAACTCCTCTGACATGGGGGTGGCCGAGATGGTCCGAAACAATGAGCATACGGTTTGGGGTATATTCTAGAATACTTCTCATCCCTTACCCGCTCATGTTAGAGCCCCCAGCACAGGTGCGGCGGCAGCAGCTCCTCGCAGAAGTTGAGGTCTGTTGACGAAGCCACTGTTCATCGGTTCGGGTTTCGCTTCGTCCTTAAACCCATGCAGTTTTATAGGGAACCGGTGAGAGGAAGAATGCCGTTCCTTATGTGGGGTGGGGTTACTTGCGGCCTCTGTGCTACTCCCAGAATCTGTGCTGTGCTTGCTTAGGACTTCATACAGGGGCCTCGATAATTACCAATAGTATCTTGGGGGTTCCTTCTGATGAATATAGTAAAAATGGCCCCAAAACCCTATTCTAATCATTAAGGCCCCTACATTAGTGAGAGTGGTCAAGTGTTCGCAACCTAAATCCACCACCGTAATCCCCAAACTCTAAAATGCTAAACCCCTGAACTCTTGTCGGGGGGGGGGGGGTTGCAGTGAGGAGTGCTTAAGCAGACTAAGTCCGTCCTGCTCTCAAAACCTGTTAGGTGCTTGGGGTGTGAAGGGTTTAGGTTTTTCTCCAAGTATTACGGAGGAGTCTGGTGTGCTGGGAAGGGGGGGCTACAGGGTTCAGGGCTATGGGATTTGTGTTTTTTTGTTTTTTTTGTGTGGTTTGGAGGTTCGCTGTGTGTTTTTGCCCGGGTGTTGCAGGGGGTGGAGGCTGAGCCAGCGACATGATGGAGGTGAGGCTAGTATAGGGGCCTTAATCTTTAATATTGAGTTATACCATTGCGGGCGGGGGGGGGGGTCCTTTGTGAAAAGTATAGTAAAATAAACCGCAAAAAACCCTATGCTGATGTATTAAGGCCCCTATATTCCCTTCAAGCTAGGGTTTAGCGTTCCGGGGTTTAGGGTTTAGGAGATTAGGGCTCCAACCCCGGACTCCCCCATCCCGACGCCCGAAACTCCTAAACCCTGCTCTTTGAGCTTTGAACTAACTCCACAGGCACTAACGTAGGGGCCTTGACAGTTACCTCTACTATTTTTTGGGGGGGTTCCTTATAATATAATATATTATAAAGCCCTATTCTAAGAATTAAGACCCCTACATTATAGCCGCTAGCCAGAAAAGTAGATTGACAGCCCTTCGCCTTTGAACCCTAAGCCCCTAAACCCGTACGAACCCTTCAGCCTAAGCCCCTAAACGCTTCAGATCTGAACCCTCCTAAACCCCTAAACCCTAAACCGTTAAACCCTAAACCCGAAACCCTAAACCCTAAACCCTAAACCCCTAAACCCCTAAACCCTAACCCTAACCCCTAAACCCCCTCAGCCCGTCCTCCTGGATAAGGCCACACCCTCGCGAGGCGGCGCGCGTGCGCTACAGAGACACCGGCTCCGAGACGCGGCCCGGCCCTCGGTGGTTGAGGGTTTTAGGGTTTGAGGGTTTAGGGTTTTAGGGTTTAGGGTCTTAGGGTTTAGGGTTTAGGGTTTGTAGGGCTTGTAGGGCTTCTAGGGTTTAGGGTTTAGGGTTTATAGGGTTTAGGGTTTAGGAGTTTAGGAGATTAAAGGGTCAGTTTAGGGTATCAGGGTTTAGGATGTAGGGTTAGTTTAGGATATCAGAGCCTTAGGGCTTAAGGGGCTTAGGTTTAGGGTCTAGCATTCAGGGCTCATTCAGGGTCTAGGGGCTTTTTTTGCAGTTGAGGATTTAGGGTTAAGTTGGGTTCTAGGGTTTGTTAGGTTTGCAGCTTTAGGGGTTAGGATGCTGCTCCAACAGTAGTATTGATGTTTGCCAGGGGTTGCATTTGGGCGCAGCGGCTTGAGGGCTTGCTGAAGTTCCAAGCTGCTACCGGCCCTATATCCGACTGAGGTCAGGTGCTCTGCTTATTCGTGATCTCCTGCATGAATAGTGATGATTAATTGCAAGGCTTTGGTGTGTGTGTGTGGGTTTAGGAATTTAGAGTTTAGATTTTTGGTTTCAGCTTCAGGTCCACATTGTTGCGGGCTCGTAGTAAGCACTAGCCTTACTAGCCATCCAGGAACATGTTGCCGCGCCTCCTTAAAAGACCTACAGGAAATGGTTGAGCACTGGTCTCACTTTTGAACGAAAGCCCGGCTCAAATTCATCTGCAAATCCCTAAACCCTAAACCGCTGCAAATCTTGCACAAGGTTTCCCTTCTATGGCCGCGACTTCGGCTATGAGGCACATGCATCTCTCGTCACAGCAGTACAGATAGGCAACCTCTTATGCCTTTGCGACCCTCTACACTACCCAACACGGATTGTCTGGCTTGCCAAGCCGTGTCCTGCCAGAGGTCAGGTTTTGCAGCTGTTTCACATGTTGCATGTTGTTTGAGCCTGAATCTTTGGTAGTTCAAGCTTGGCTGTTGACTGTGTAGAGGTCGGAGAGTTTGCGCCAACAGTTCGTGGCGTCGGGCTTCAGCTCCCGATCCAGTGAAAGCTGGAATACAGGAATTGAAAAATAATCAAGCCTCGTCTGTTCGAACGCTACCCTGCCGCCAGCAAGAACCCTCGTCCCCAACCAATGTTGACCAAAGGCCAGACAGACTTCTCGCAGCTGTTTTACGGCCTAAAAGGCTAACCCTAAACCTAGACCCTATAGACCCTAAACCCCAAACCCTAGACCCTAGACCCTAAACCCTATAAGCCCTAAACCTTAAATCCTAAACCCTTGTGAGGTCGACTACATGCTCGAGCTCGGGCTACAGCCCGGCGATCGCTGCTTTGCCGAGTACCGCTTGCAAGCGGCAGCCCCAGCTACTGTTGATGATTTGCTACAGGGTTCCTTGAGGGATAAGGGATACTACTGTTGATGATATAGATCCTGCATTACCTAAAGGGCCCTTAACTATGGGAATTATGGTATATTCTTTGTTATGGGTAATGCAGGATTTCTATCATCAACCGTATGGCACCTTTAAAGGAGGGTTTTACGGCAACCTACCAAAAAACCAACGTTGTGCAGGGGTTCCCTACAAATTCTATTTCCGGGCACATAATAAGAACCTACAAAGAAGTAGGTTTTGGTAGTTTAAGGGGTAGTTTAAGGCAAAAGTTAGGGCTTTTACGGTTTAGGGATTCGGGCTTCTCCGTTCTTTGGTTATGGGGTTTAGGTTTTGAGGGTTCTGGGCTTAGGGTTTAAGGGTTCAGGGGTTTAGGGCTTTGGGGTTTGGGTTTTCAGGGTTTGGGGGTTTAGGGTTTTTAGTGTTTAGGGTTGAGGGGTTGAAGGTTTAGGGCATCCCCATTTTTCTGACTGCCCCATGTAGGGGGTTCCGAAAATAGGGGACCCCTAATATAGTACCCTGTTATAAGGATCCCAAAATCAGGTACCCCTAATTTTCGGAAAATCCCATTATTGTTGAAGGGGGTTTAGGGCCTCGGAGTCAGGGCCTCGGGTTTGCGGGTCTAGAATGCTTTGAAGTTAATGTTTGGGTAATTATAAGGCATCCATCCACTATCAAAGGACCATCAAAGTGGATTCGGGGGTCAACGATGGTTTACGGCTTCAGGATGCTTCAGGTATGTCGGGCTTGGAACGTGGTAGTCTTGGTGCTGATAGCCATAACACGAACTTTCGGCGCAATCCAGTTGACGCGCCTGGGCCTTCGCAGGGGCCGATGGCGGCGCTACAGCTGGTGGTGCTGTGTCCGAATCGCTGTCCTCCCGAGCATCGGGCGATGAAGGTCCGAACACACAGCAGTGAATGCATCCGCAAAAACCCCAAACTTCGTGAAGGCCTTGAGGCGACAACTTTGTATATGGTTAGAACCGAAATTTCGACATGCAGCTTTGCCAAAGGCCTGAACCGCTGTCCGACACGGATACCATGCGATCATTCTTTACTGCGTAGAAAGTTCGAACATGGAAAACCGATGTCAAACATGAACGGGTCGTGCCGAATCTGCAAAGACTGACATGTCAGGACTAACCACCCTGTATGGTCCAATGCCGACGTCCACTTACACATGCGCAATCTCTCAGCTGACTCTTTGCTTAGCATGTGCGGCACGTTGTCGATTGAATGCGAGA